TACAGGGTTTGTTTTGTTTTTATTACTGTGTATTTGTTATTTACTTCCGTAAGGAGGTGTTTAATGTTTGCTGCTCTCTTCTTCGTGATGCTAGCAGTCACTGCTGATCACTGCCTGGGATCCATTAATTCATTAGTTTACAAAATGCTGATATTCAAAATCTGTAATTCCATCTAAAATTATTTGCTGAAATATTTCTAAAAAAAATTAACTTTCCTTTATTACTGTTCAATTATCCTGATGTACAGTTTACCTAGGAAAGGTATGAGAGATGCTTTGATATTTTTCTTCATATACCGGTTTTCAAAATAAGTTAACCTCCTAGCATCCTCCTAAACAGACCAATTAGTTAGTCTGCTTATAAGGTAGCAAGATGAACTCTTGGACTTCAACTTATCTGTAAGGTCTGAACTGTAGTTATTACTCTTCTTGATGCTCAAATTGTCCCATTTTTGGCTAGAGGGAGCCCAATCAAATTGATTCCAAAGACTTTTTGTTATGATGCAAGTAGTGTTTAAAAAACTCCTTGCTTGGGCGCCTGGGTGGCTCAGTTGGTTAAGCGACTGCCTTCGGCTCAGGTCATGATCCTGGAGTCCCGGGATCGAGTCCCACATCGGGCTCCCTGCTCAGCGGGGAGTCTGCTTCTCCCTCTGACCCTCTTCCCTCTCGTGCTCTCTATCTCTCATTCTCTCTCTCTCAAATAAATAAATAAAATCTTAAAAAAAATAAAAAACTCCTTGCTTTTAGAAAAATGTTCTAGGCACATCTTATTTATTACCCCAAACCTGGAATCAGTCATTTATATCAAGGTGCCCTGGTACTTTCACTGGAAAATGGTATTTAGAGAATACAATCTAGGCACCAGGGCTGGGGTGCACTGTTTTCATATCACTTAGAAATTTTATTTTATAAATACTAAAACGGCTCTTTAGTGACCTTGTACTGGAAAGAATCCCCCCAAAATTCATGTCCACCTGGAACCTCAGAGTATTACGACATTTAGAAATATGATCTTGGGGCACCTGGGTGGCTCAGTTGGTTAAGCCTCTGCCTTCGACTCAGGTCACGATCTCAGGATCCTAGGATTGAGCCCCACATCGGGCTCCCTGCTCAGCAGGAAGTCTGCTTCTCTTTCTCCCTCTGATACTCCTCCCTGCTTGCGCTCTCTGTCTCAGATGAATAAATAAAATCTTAAAAAAAAATGAAATAGGATCTTGGCAGATGCAATTAAGGTAAGACTGATATGAGACCATACTGGATTAGGGTGGACACTACCTAAATTCAATGAGTGTCCTTATCAGAGACAGAAAATTATATAGAGGGAAACACAGAGGAAGGACACATAAAGACAGAGACAGAGATTCCAGTGATGCAGCTACAAGCCCAAGAATGCCAAGGATTGCCAAGAGCCACCAGAAATTAGGAAGAGGCAAGGAAGGATTCTTCCCTAGAACCTTCAGAAGGAGTATGGGTCTGCCAACACCTGGACTTCAGAATTCTAACCTCCAGAATGGTAAGAAAACAAATTTCTGTTGGTTTAAGCCACCAAGTTTGTGGTTAATTTGTTATAGCAGCCCTAGGAAACTAATATAGATCTAGACATTGTTTTTTTTCCTGTTTTTAAATAAAATCATAAAAATTAATATACAGGTATAATAAATAGCTGAGGTATTTGTAAAACTTCCTTAAATGTAGAATCAAACTTTTTCTAATTACACACCTTCCTTGACTTACAATGGGGTTATATCCCAATAAACACACTATAAGTTGAATGAAAATACCTTAAAGTGCATTTAATACACCTAACCTACTGAACATCACAGCTTAGCCTAGGCCTACCTTTATTTTTTATTTTTTTTTTAAATTTTATTTATTTATTTGAGAGACAGAATGAGAGAGAGCACATGAGAGGGGGGGAGGGGCAGAGGGAGCAGCAGACTCCCCGCCGAGCAGGGAGCCCGATGCGGGACTCGATCCTGGGACTCCAGGATCATGACCTGAGCCGAAGGCAGTCACTTAACCAACTGAGCCACCCAGGCACCCCTGTGCCTACCTTTAACACACTCAGAACATTTCCACTAGCCTATAGTTGGGCAAAATCATCTAACACAAAACCTATTTTATAATAAAATGTTGAATATCTCATGGAATTTACTGAATACTGTACTGAAAGTGAAAAACAGAATGGTTGTACAGGTACAGAGTGGTTTTAAGTATATTAGTTTTTTTACCCTTGTGATTGCATGGCTGACTGGGAGCTGCCCAATATCACAAGACAGTACTGTGCTATATACTGTGCTATATCGCTAGCCTTGAAAAAGATCAAAATTCAAAGTGCACTTTCTACTGAATGTGTATCACTTTCACACCACTAAAAGTCAGAAATCCTAAGTCTAACCGTTGTAAATTGCGGACCATCTGTAAGATGGCCCGAAGATAAATAGACCTTATTTGCATATGACATGCAAACATCCGTATTTCTTCAGAGCACCGCTACTTGGTTGTAGAGTAGGCATTTTATATGTTCAACAGAGAATTCCTGATTGTATCCTTCTAATTCTACCAGGCTTCACCATTTCAGTAATCAGCAACTCCATTTTAACAATTCATCAGGCCAAGATCTCAGAATCAACCTTATACCCAACATCCAATCCATCAGCAAATCCTGTTAATTTTACCTTTACAATATATTACAATATATTCAGAATTGAACCACTTCTCACTACTTCCACTAATACCTTCTTGACCCAATCTACCATGATCTGTGGCCTAGAAAACAGCCACCTAACTAGTCTCTCAGTCCTCCTATGATCTACTCCCCTCTTAACAGTCAGAGTTATCCTTTAACCATATGTCAGATCATGTTACCCCAGAAAATGCTTCTCATCCCACACAGGCCCTAGAGGCCCTGCCCACCAATGTCTTAATTCTTCCTCCTCTACCTATCTACTCAATCACTCCAGTCATACTGACCTCTGTGCTATTCCTTGACCACACCAAAGTTGTTCTTGTCTCAGGGCTTTTGCACTTGCTGCTGTCTCACCTAGAACACTCCTCCTGAGGTATCTTTATGGCTTCATCCCTTAATTCTTTTAGTTGCTATTCAAAGATAAACTTATCCAAGAGGATTTCCTTGACCGCTTATACGAGATATCACCTCCACGATGTCATCACCCTTTATCACTTTACCCTCTTCTATTCTTCTTTAAAGCACTTATCACTACCTGTCTATAATACATTTATCTTTTTATTGTCCACAGAAGGTACTCCCTGAGCAAGCACTTTTTGTCTCTTTTATACACTACTATACTCCTAAGAGTTTAGAACTGTGCTTAGTATGGTTTGTTGAATGGGGTGAGCTGATCTCAATTCTCTTTGGCTCTACTAGTATGAACATCTCATACTGAGTACATGCTGTGTATGGATTTAGAAATTAATCTGAGTAATTTTCATTAAATACAATACCTAAATACAAGCTAACTATGTCATCAGGTACATAATCTATTTCAATGCAGGAAGTAAAACTGGCCATGTTGGATGTATTAAACTCCCCAAGTAAAAAGCAGTATCATAGAAAAAACTAAAAGGAAAATCACCAAGTACCCTCAAATCAATCCAGATGTATAAATACATTTGCTCATAATTACATAGGTATTATTAGTACTTCTGTAGTATCCACTCATAAAGCATAATGAGTATCTCTGATTACCCTAAACCAAACAAATAATTCAAGCATCTTAAGTAGACACAGCGCTAGGTTACAGGGCTTGGACAGTGTTAACCTTCTGGCAGGAATAGTTTTCTCTCCCTCAAAATAAGGCCACACAGAAGATATACGCTAAAGGAAATTACAATAGTCTTAAAATTAAGATTAATACAGTGAGAGCATGCCAAATTATTTAAAGAAAGTCTGTAACATCATTTTATCTTCCTCAGCAGCAAATTTTCTATCAGATCCTAGAGTTACTGAGCAAAGGCTATCCATAAAAAAGGATGCTAATCTATAGCAATGACAGAAAAATGAAGTTTTGATATCTAAAGTTTTTAGCAAAGAAAATGCTATATGACCACAGAAGTCATACTGCAATTTCATATAAATAGTAAATTCAAAGGTAGTAAATCTGGGGATCTATGAACCTGAGAGATCATGTTAATTCCAATCAGAAAAAGTAACATCCAAATCTCATAATCTATAAAAAATGAAGCTGATTATCATTTACTCTTAAGAACAATGAATTCATTAATTCCTTGGATCTATAAATAGAAATTCATTGTAACCTAACCTGGAAATAAATGTTCACCCCCTTGCTTACAAACAACTTATAGTAAGTTTTTCTGTGGAACAGAAAAAACAGCCTAAGCCCTGAGGAAGAGTCACAAAGCACTGTGGTGCCATTTTTCTCAGGCCCTTGCAAAGCTTTCCTACAATTAGAGGACCATGCGCTAGACAAGAACAAAAGGAATATTTAACTGCTCATCTTCCTTTCCAAACAAAAGTTTCAAGTTAGAATGTGGCTAGAGGCCAAACCACAACTTCTTCTGGGAACTGTGAATTAACTTCCTACTGCCACAGACCTCTCTCAGTAACTATAAGGCTACTGCTTACAGTTTCTGGCCCACAGGGTATTTTTCCTCATCTCCCCTAAGGACTTCTGCACTAATGAGTGGAGTAAGACCATATGCAGGCTGCTAATCACCAAGTAATTAGAAAACACTCTTCTCTCCTTTTCCTTTTCTAACACACACACAAACACCCACGTGTGGGCACACGCACTCACAATCTCTTCCCTCCCTCTAAGCTGAGCATAAAAAGGGGGGGGGACAGCATAAATGATTCTATGAAAACAGTTTATATAAGACTGAACACAATGTACACAGCTCAGTAAAGTTCTGTGTATGACTATTTTCCAAACCAAAATGTAACCAAGAAGAACTTTAACACAAGCACTAAAGTAAGAAACAAAAAAAGGTAGGAAACACAAGTAAAAAAAGTCACTTACTATGTGTCATCTTCAAGTCATTAAGTTTTGCATTTAACAGATCTTCTTTTAGGACTTTTTTTCTGTAAACATTAAAAAAGAGGTGAAATAACTAAGAGAAAATTGTTATTCTGCTCATACATTTTTCAATTCACTGCCAAGCAAAATGAAATGGATTATGCACTAGGTTTTAAATTCTAGCAAAGAAAGCATGACCAGTTGCGACCAGTTGCCACCAGTTGCTACTCTCCACTCCAGTGTCTTATGAGGGAGGTTCACTACCAAGAAAAAAAAATATCACAATCCCTTTCCCTGGAACTGGTAGAAAGCATCAGAAAGGAAGGGGTGTCAGGGTTTTTGTATTACTTTAGAAGGGAGAGGCAACAATGAATGGATATCTAAGTGCTGCAGAGACTAGGTTATATGCAGTGAATTTAAGATTGAATGAAAGGAATGGTAAAAACATCCAAAGACTCCAAAAAAGAATATACTATAAATATTCAACAGCTGACAGATATACTATAAATATTCAATAGCTGACAGATTTTCCACCTTGGGAGATATCATGAAGGGGCTGACTTGGTAGGCAAAAGCAAATTATTATTTTGCATCTGCTACTTCTCTGTACCATCCCACTACCACAAATCCCTGAGAAAAAGCAGTTAAGCATATGGACTATCTCAGCTGTTAGACCCATTGTATGGCCCTGTTATAGGACATGCAGTGATGACCACTGCACTATCAGTAAGGGTCAGAGAACTGTGGTAATTCAGAGGAAACATAAAAATGTATATCCATGACACCGTCATAGATAGTGACAGGAGATGGATGAAGAATGAAGCTAGCAGAAGTTCTTCAGTGTGCTGGGAAAGTGTGCTATTTTCTATGTAAACATAAATGCAAGAATCAAAACTGACTCACAGTTAAAAGAAGATGTTAATAAAATTTGCTCTAATGCAAACTGGGTTTATGGCTGGGCTCTTTGAATGGGTGGTTCCATGAATCCCTTAAAATCACAAAGTTTTGTCTGTAAGTATATTTTATTTTTTTATTTTTTTAAAGATTTTATTTATTTGAGAGAGAGAATGAGAGAGAGAGAGCACATGAGAGGGGGGAGGGTCAGAGGGAGAAGCAGACTCCCCGCCGAGCAGGGAGCCCGATGCAGGACTCGATCCCAGGACTCCAGGATCATGACCTGAGCCAAAGGCAGTTGCTTAACCAACTGAGCCACCCAGGCACCCTGTAAGTATATTTTATGACCTGTTTTCTGGTAGAAGGTGTCTATAGCCTTCTTCAGATCCTCAAAGAAGTACATAACTTCCAAAAAGATCTAAAGAGCTGCAGTGTTATAAACTGTGGCATGATTTAATAAACCTTAAAACTATTGTCAACAGTTTAGTAACTAAATAAATCTACTCTGTTAAGAAATTAGTATTCTGGGGGTGCCTGGGTGGTATAGTCTGTTAAGTGTCCAACTCTTGGTTTCGGCTAGGGTTATGATCTCAGGGTCGTGAGATCAAACCCCAAGCGAGGCTGCATGCTCAGCACAGAGTCTGCTTAGACTCTCTCTCTCTCCCTCTGCCGCTCCCCCTACTAAATGAATGAATCTTTAAAAGAAAAAAAAAAAAAGAAGTTAGTATTCTGATTAAATGTACTAATGAATCATAGGTTTAATTATGAATTTGATAGTATGTATTATCTTAAGAATACAATTTTTGGACAGCTCTGAATATATGTCAGATCAAAATGGGCTTAACTTTTAAATGTACTAGAACAATTTAAGTATTAGTAATAAATTCATTTCCAGTACATTAACTCAATTTAGTTAAAAAAATATGTTAAATACCTATTAAACTCAAGTACTAAGCACTGTATTTCTAGGCAATTACATTTTAACAACAGTAATTAAAGAAACATATCCAAACATGTTAAAACATAAATGGTTGTTATGGTAGGTACCAAGTGTCTGCTACAATACAAAAAAAGAAAATTATAAAGATAATAATAAGCAGTTTCAATTTTAACTGTCTCATGAAGAATGTTGTGCTATATCATTATTTACTTTCTACTTTTTGTCCATAAATACTACAGCAGTGCTACTCAGTGGTCAGTCTAACAATGCTTATTCATTATTGGTTTGTCATATACAGAAATGAGTAAGCTTTAATTTATACTGCTAAAACATTTTCATTTTACAAAAATATCTATCTAAACAGATTACAGAAAAAAACAAAAAAAAACTCATCAAAGAGAGTTCAAATTCTCTTCTCATATTTCAGCTGATCCTTTCTTAAATTATCAAGTGTGTGCCTTAAAAGAAGTTAATTAAATACATTTAAATCCCACATAGTTTAAAAAAAAAATAGAGTACTCCTTTTTATTAGCTATCTTCTGGTTTTAAATGTTTGGACTCCACTTCTAAAATTCATCACTAACCTCATACAGCTTTTAGAATTTTCACAACAGGAGAGCTGCTTCTTTAAAGAGCTTTCAGTTTTCTTGTCTTTTGTTTCTCTCAACTGTCTTTTTACTTGAACCTAGAAGAAAAGCAAAATCCCTTATTTAGAGTGATAATCCAGCATCACAAATGATAACCTATCAATTCTCCTTTGAAAGGATAAAAAAGTAAGATACAAAATTTTCTGAAAGGGTTGCCCAAACACATATAGCTTATTCATCAAGCATGCTAAACCGTAAGACTCATAAGTGTCCTAAGCTCCAGGGAAACAAAATAGTGAGAGGCATGTAAACAGAAAGCGCTCATGAGCACAGATCTGTGTGTGTGTGTGTGCATATATATATATATGCACACACACACACACAGATACGTATGTATATAGGACTGAGAAATTCACTCTATTTGATGATAACAGAGGACTTTAATGAGTTGGTCTTAAAGAGTAGGAATTGGGGGCGCCTGGGTGGTTCAGTCCCAGGGTCCTGGGATCAAGCCCCGCGTCGGACTCCCTGCTCAACAGGAAGCCTGCGTCTCCCTCTCCCTCTGCTTGTGTTCCCTCTCTCGCTGTGTCTCTGTCAAATAAATAAAATCTTAAAAAAAAAAAAAGTAGGAATTTGTCTAAGGAAAAAAATATTCTGAATGGAAGAAAGAACATAGTTACAAGGAACAATGAGAAGCCAATGCAGATAGGGAAGAAAATGTTAGCAGGATATGAAGCTGATGTAATATATTAGGACCAGATTGTAAAGGGCTTCAAATAAGAAAATAATTCCATGGGAATGAGCGAATAAATGGAGGTATTAAAGCAAGTGAATGAAATGACCAAATTTGTTTTTCAGGATAAACTTTGCCAGTGATGTGGAGAATGAACCAGTTAAGGAGAGACTATAAAGGCTGGGAAACCAGAAGAAAGCTCTTATAGTTGTGTAGATCTACACTGCAGGAGACAATCACTAGCCATATGTGGCTAATGAGCACTGAAATGTGGCTTGTCTGAATTGAGATGTACTCTAAGTGTAAAATATACACTGGATTTCAAAGATATACAACAACAAGGTAAAACATTTCAATATTTCTTTAAAAATACTATATGTTGACATAATACATTAGTTATGTTGGATTAAATATATTATAAAAATTTATTTCAACGGTTTCTTTTTACTCTTTCAATGTTACTAAAAGTAAAAAAATGAAATTATAGTGGCTTGTAGTATATTTCTATTGGCAGAACCAGTCTAGATGACAGCATGAAGGCCTACAAAGAAGTGACAAAAGAGGAATGAAGAGAAAACAAATTTATGACATTGCTCAGAAGAACTAGGCAAAGATGAGGGAGAAAGAAAAAATGGAAAACTCCCACATGAGTTCTGGATATGTTAATGTTTACATTCCTCGGTATGCTACATGGAGCTACCCAACAAGCAGATGAAAACATAAATCTTGTTCTGAGGAAAGAGATCTGGGCTAGTGATAGTTTTTACAGGTAAGAGCTGAAAGCCACTGGAGTTCTCAAGAAGATTGAGAAAGTATCCCCAGAAAATTGAAAGGGATTTAAAATTTAAGAAATGATTTTTAAAAAGGTAAGGAAGGCAGAGAGATGGTAAAGATTGTGAAAGGTCAGAAAAGTAAAACAAATGAACATTGATACAAACATTCATAAAAGGACATCCTATAAGCGAAAGAAAATAAAGGGTAGTTAAGAGCACCACATGCAGAAAACAAAAAATTATTCTAAACCTTAGTGAGGACACTTTTACAGAGGTAAATGTTCAATGTGAGTTGAAAAGCAATTATGAAAAGGGAGTAACCAAGTATAGATGTCTCATTCAAGGTTAGCTGGAAAGGGATAAAGATAATAAAGTGAAGATTCAGAAGTAAAGGTCAAAGGAAAATATTAAGAGCTTGTAGTTAATATCACATAATAAGAAATAACTGTTAAGTCTGACTAAATTAGATTAACACTGCACCAAACTTTTTAAAAAAGATTTATTTATTTATTTGAGGGAGGAGGGAGGGGCAGCGGGACACAGAGAGAAAGCCCCGAACAGACTCTGCGCTCAGCGTGGTACCCGACCTGGGGCCCAATCTCACAACCCCGAGATCCCAACCCGAGAGGAAACCAAGAGTGGAATGCTCAACCAACTGCACCACCCAGGCGCCCCTGCACCAGACTTTTAAGTAAAATACAAACCATATTAAAGAAAATGTAAATTGTTAGTCCAAGCAACAAAACAAAGTTTTAGAGGAAAGTATCTTTGGAAGCTAGTTCATGCCAATACATCTTCAGCAACATAATATATATAGTCTGGAAAAACAGAGAATCTGTATTTCAGAGAAGCCATGCTTTAATTTTTAACATAATATTACACATTTATATTATATCTTTTCTCCAAGACATACTAATTTATATAGATGTATAAGTACACAATGACAACAAGCAAAATCATGTTTTACACATGCCATGTTATTTGAATTTTAGTCTCATTTGTTCCTTATATCAATGAGACTCATTTGGTAAAAATATATCAAAAATTATAGATACCTACACTGAGAACATCTTATGCTTAAATAGTTGTATGTCGCTTCCATACCCCTTCCTACTCACAAAGACAGTAACCAAGCTGTTAATGGACTTATGCTACTTGGGAACAGTCCCCCCTCTGCCCCCCATCAATGGCATCAGGTATCTATATAGTAAGAATTCTTTTTTTTTTTT